GTGCTCTCTCTCTCTCTCCCCCCCCCCCGCTCTCTCTCTCTACACACACACACACACCCACCCCCAAATATATATATATATATACAGACACACACGCAAAGTATAGTGATGTTCTTTCTGCAATTAATTTGTATATTTAAAGTCTTGTACGTATTCTAAAATGATACTTCATAGCCCTTTGTATGCATATTTATCTCTTCTGCGTGTTTTGAAGTCTAATCCAGCACAAGAAAGTTGAGTTACATAATTCATTTCATACGAAACAAATTAACAATTGTCATCGAAATTTTTGCATCTCGATTAGGTTTGATCCCACACTTTTTTGTTGCGTTTACGTGTATCATATCTAAACCTAACTTGTGTATTTTAGGACGTGGTTCTTGAAAATATTATAATAATCACCATGAAAGGGATTGACATATATAGTTCACAAATGGTATGAATTTGTTGGGTGTGGCTTGATAACGCTTATCCCGACTTTTATATATGCATTTTTACTTAATTTATTGTAAGTCGTCGTAGGTAAAAATCATATTTGGAGATACATGGGATTGATGGAAAGCGTTAAGAGAGAAGTTGGAGGAAATTCAAAAGTTTCAGGGAGTGAAATTCGACTTATGGAAAGTTTGAATGCTGATTTGCACACTTTCGAAACTTGAGGAAGACCAATCGTGGATGACTATGGAGATTCAAGAACAAACATAGAAGCTTTTGGGAATTGCAAGATCAATGTTTGAAGATTTGGAGCGAAAATGGTCAAAATAGTACGAGAAACTCAAAAGTAGGAGCCAAAATGCAAAAGAAGAAAGATGAAGTGCTGATGACTGCAATCAACCCGCCGTCCGTCCAATTGTGTATTATTCAACAGTTGTTTTATTTGGGGATATTTAAATCCTTTTGTACACATGAGTTTCAATGTGATTTAAGCTATGCCATGTTCGTCTACCATTATTCAATAAAAATGAATTTTGAAATGGTAAATTTTTGGAGAATATGTGGTTAAAAAGTAGGAAAAAAGGGTTTAAATATAAAATATTTTATTGTGAGTGCTATTGAAAATAAATTTGAAAAAAAAAAAAATGAGTTTTAAAACAAACAAAATATAAAATATTTTATTGTGAGTACGTGTTATTGAAAATAAATTTGAGAAAAAATGAGTCTTAAAATAATAGTAGACAAACAGGGGCTACATAAAGACATATTTTTAGTCAAATTAAAGGAGGAGGGAAATACAACAGAATAGAGAAAAAAAGAAGGAATTTTCAAGACTTCAGTGTGGAGAAGGCGAAATTTTTGTACAAAACTTTTATCTTTTTTTCGTTTTTCTTGAAACTTGCTGATGTATGTGAACAATTTTTTCTTGTATGATGAGTAACTAATTATTAATTAGGATGAATGATATAATTTAGGTTTGGATCTTTAATTTCAATTCTCTAACTGGGTAATTAATTGATTTATATATTTACTTCTTTTCTAGATGCTTGAATTACTTGGTCACTAATTCGTAATTTGTGAATTGAATAAACCGAATGAGTTATGAATTTAGATCACGTGATAAAACTCGATAATTGAGAAAAATGTAAAGATACACTTTTTTAATTGTTGCAGTAATTAATTAACTTTCTAGGTGATTTAATGAGTTAATGTTGATTCAAATTCAGATGGAGATTTAATGCATTAATGTTGATTCAAACATAATGAGTGTGACTCAACTAAATATGATTAATTTAAACTCAATGGAGATAAATGAATTAAATTAGTAGATTCGAATAATTACAATTTTGGAATTGAACTTGAGAAGCGAGATTAAATGTCATAACTATAGTAAAATCATGAATCACAATGCTTTAATCATCATATTAAATGGTTTAATTTAAGTTATCCACAATCCAAATAAAACACTAAAACACTAATTGTTTTACTTTTTCATAGTTAATATTAATTTAATAAAAAAATTTGTCTGAAACCTTGTTTGCGTCAAATAAGGGATAGAGTTATTAAAATTGGTCTTTAAATAAAATAGTCTCCATAGGACGATAATCCAAACTTTTTGGATCCATTTTACTAATTGTTTAATAGATATCGTACGCTTGTAATTTTATACCAATATGGACACTCAATAGATGTTTAGTCTATAATACTTTTCAATTCTACTCTAATTAATGATATTTCAACTTCTTTAATTTTCTTATTTAATCCGGACGGATATTATCAAAAATGCCATTCGGAAAGAAAAGTGGCTGCTGAATATGTGGGGCTCTTAGCTATGCAAAGTTATATTACTGATGTGGATGGTTTCTTCAACACATTACAAAAGCACATACTAAAAGACAAAAAGAATACTGTTTGTTTTGCTGCTGAAATTTTGACTTTGCAAGGTATAATGGGTGGGTCCATTGTTTGTTGAAGTATCGCCTTAAGTTGTTTTAAGCATATGTTGGGTCCCTTTTTTATAATTTATTCTTTTTGAATTTACTTTTAATCACATGATATCCATAATTTTTATCGACTACAACCCTACTACACGCACAAGAAAAATTGTCATTGTAGGGAGATAGTGAAGCGCATTCATTGGATCTTGAACAAAATACAGTTTTATCCTAGCTAATACACAAGCGTCACCTGTCTCCTTAGCATTCTTCTTGGCAATCTTTCATATACAAGAAGCTTAACTTTATCAACTTTTCAATCATACAGTTTTCATCTTTTATAAAAATTTACTAAAGTCTTCATTTTTGTCTTAACCAAATATTGACTAAATCTTCCAATAGATTTATCAATAGACGCAACGTGGAGTGACAAAAACTGGGTTAGTTTCCCATTCTCTAAATACATTTGGAACAAGTCGATTAGTTTGTATTTGTGTAGCTAGACACACTTACATACATTAAGCTGATTCTTGTTCCTTTTCTTGATATGTCAATTTACATCAGAGAAACTATTAGCCTATGTTCGGCCCTTATTTTTTTTTTTTTAAATTCATTTTTTTAAAACTTAGTTTCAACCACAAAATCTCCTATAAAATAATTTTACACATAAGTTTAACCGCTCATACTTCAACAAAACACTATTGCAAAATGCCTTTTAGCCCAAAAATGGAATTCAAACAGGGACTTAGTCATTTCGGGAAGACTAATTGGACAAGGATTCATGACATGCAGCACATGTATGAATCTTCTTCTTTTTTCTTTTCAAACTATCAAATGAATGGTTGACACATATGCCTATTTTTTAAATTTGGTCAATTATCCCTGTCACAAAAATATTATTTTATTTTTATTGAGACCAAGACTCAATTGCTTAGACATTCTTCGATTTTTTCACAAAATAAGGTATATAAGCTATATAAGGGTATCTAATTCTATGGAACAAGGAGGTTCTTAATTTCCTCTTTGAAACATTTCAAGTCATTCCTAGGGCTTAATTATGTTGTATTAAGAGTTTCAGATGCCTCAATTGCATACATCAACGAGAACATATAACATATATAAAAGTCAAAAACTTTTATGAATTGTATTACACTAATTTATCATTAATTTGATTTCTCGAATAATTAAAAAAATCTTAAAATTTCTAGTGGCGACCTTATATACTTATTGCCCTGAAATATAACATTTACGTAATGGAATCATCTTCAGATTAATCTCGCTGCCTCCTATACAGTATTTTTAAAATTTTAAAAACTAATAATTATTTATCTCAAATATGCATGTTGATGAGCACATAGACAAATTTTCCCGTTCAATGAATAAAAAGTCACAACTAGTTTTCAAACTCATTCATCCCAAAAACTAAGACTAAGCGTTCTATGGACCTCCATGTTCTGAAAAAACAACATTTCCATCCCCCTTTTTCGCACGTGACAATGGGGAGGAGTCATGAAGACTAGTGAAAAAATTCAATCACTTGTACTCGACTGAAAATACATAATATTGAGTGCTGCTGTTGGAACTTCAAGATCGCCCTCTGAAAACCAACTCTTGATCGTGCCCTGATATGGGCCAGTCGGGGTTTGCTCAGGCCATCTGTCGACCAGCCTAAAACCAAACTGAGATGCTGCCGAAAGTATTGATGGCTCATCAACTCTGCGGAAAACATGGCATAGAATCAGAGCTGGCTCTCTGTCCTTTACAACTCTGCTGGATGAAATCAGTTCTCTAGCTGTTGCAAACAAGGGAATAATTGCTTCAGCAACGTAAGTTACATCAGTGCCAAGAATGACCTCAAAACCTTTCTCGCTGAGTTGCTTGACATAATCTATATCATTCTTGTTTCCCCATTCTAGTTTTTTCGTAATTAATCTTTCAAGAGATGGTGATTTGAGATTCAAAGCAATGTTCTCCGTCAACAGGTCAAGTACTTTAGTGTCTCCATCGGTGGCAACCACAAGATCAGCAGATCGTGCGGCAACCATTGAACAGATTCCCCCACAGCCACATCCAATTTCTAAAACCCTTCTCCCAGAAACAATGGCAGGATTGGAAGCAAGAATAGAAGCCATTAACCTAGCTGATTCCCAGAGAATCAAACCAGTCGATTTGCAGGTATGTTGGTACTCTTTGGAAAGCACTTTAATCTTGAACTTATCATCTCTTATAATGATGTCAACAATCTAAGACGTGCAAGATAGTAGATCAAGTCAAGGATGGCAGAGGAAAAGAAAATAAGATGCAAAATGCAGGATTAGAAACACCATAGGTCACTGAAAGGTCTGAACTTAGTAGTGTCTTTTCACTTATGGTTGCCGAACTTTATTTTGTTCCAAATAGTCACTGAACTTACACCTTTGTTTTAGAAAATCCATCGACCTATATCTTTCGAAATTCAAAAATAATAGAATTGCTGATTTGTATGATGAGACGATGATGTGGCTTAGAAGGTTCATTAACAAGTCGATTTTGTCATCAATATTGCAAAAGATCACTTAATCTTCTAAACGTCATGCTTAGTAAAAGCTTTAGTTTTTCATAAGGATAAGCATTTTTTTTTTTAAATTAGATGATAATCAATGCGTTAACGGATTTTTAAGCCACATCATCATTTCCATCATACAAGTCTTTCAAAAATAACACAAAGATAAACAAGGAGTGCCTAAACTATAACAACAGTGGAAGTTCAGTGAACAATTTGAAACAAAAAACAAGAGATCAGTTAATAAAGTGAAACAACATGAATTCGGTGTGACAAACATGGTTATTAACCTGCCATATACACCATATTCGAAGGAATTACGCTGCATAACTAAAAAGCAAGGATATTTTTACCTCCTCGCTGGAAGATGAAATACCAAACATGTCAACACCCATTCCCTCTGATAAATCAATCTCGGACCTATTTGTAGCATCTTTCCAAGTAATGTCCTTGACTTTGGGTTTATAACAATCCTCCTCCATGTGATTTACTTGCTTCCCAGTTCTTTCACCAGACATACAGTTACCATGGGCTGCCTTAAATACAGCTTGAACCCAACGGCTAAAATCCAACAGCAAATTTAAACATAAGCGGGAATCAAATGCAACTGTACTCTAGAAATGAGGCCAGAATGAAATATAAACACCACCATAGTTTGTCAAATACATGAAACTATGAATAATTTATATTGTATGTCTGTAATTATATTTTGACAGAATCCTCCCATAATGCACACATGTGATATACTATTCAGATAATCTGCTGAAAAAAGGGAAATTTGTCCTTAGTTACCGATTCATCACTATTTCCCTTGATCGATTTTCCACTTGCTTGCAACACAAGACATGTTCTTCCATGCTGAATCCATTTTCTTTGAACAGATTTCGCAAGAACTCGTCTGAAAAGTAGAAAGCTCGCTGGCAACAGAAGTAGGATGCTATAAAAGCTGGCTAATGGTTTTTAAACATTATATGAAATATTAGTTTTAATTTTTTATTTTTTATTTTTTTTGGGGGTG